GAGAATGAAATAATGGTTTCAGGAGGTAACCTTGGTAACAGTTTGGCTTGGTTTCCATGGTAACAAAGAGTACAGCTGAGAGGCTCAAAGAATCACAATTTCCTTTGATTGGTAGATGCTCAAAAATGATGATTTGGAAAGTGACAGGGGATTTGAAAAAAGAAAAAGATTTCCCTTATGAGGAATGAGACATTAAGTGTAATAATAGCACATTGATGGTTGGACACAGACAGGCCTTTGAAATTTAATGAAACCCCCCTTTGCTCCTTCATAAAAAAATTGGATAGAATATCTCAATTTATAACAGCATGAATCTGGAGACTAAATTTCCTTCTCCTGATTAACTAGCCACTGTATACTAGATGACTTATAATGTCCTCATAAAATTAGCTTAAAATTCTATTCAATGACATAAATTGTGAATAAATCCACAATAAAACAAATATTTTTTGCTTTCTCTGTATTGTTCTGTGGATCTTAATAGGAAAAAAAAAGGTAAAATAAAAAAATATAGTGAGAAGGGAATTAAGAAATCTAGAAAATCAGGAGATATCCCTGTAGCTAGTAGTTGCATGAGCTCATATCATTTTTACTTGCTCCTGGCTTTTCTTTTCACAAAGTAACTCTCAGTACTTACTATCAAAAACAAAACAATCTGAATAATTACCTAAGCTGCTTAGCTGCTCGTTGGAAAATATCAGAGAGATTCTTCTTGCTTTACCCACTATAAGTAGAAATTGTAAGTTGAAAATGCATCTAACCTACAGAATCTCGTAGCTTAGCAACATGACAAACAGTAGAGTATCAGTTCTTGAGCCTCATGATTGCATGGCAACGCGGAGCAGCTTCTTGCTGCTACTACTACCCAGTACCAAGGGAGTACGATACTACATCACCAGCCTGAAAAAAAATCAAGTTGGATCATAGCTAGAAAGTCTATTGATAATGCCTATTATGTTTGTGCCATAATAAAGTAAAACTAAAAAAATTGAACCCCAATAAGTCAGGAAAATCTATAACACATTATTTTAAAGATTTTTTTCTATGTTTGAATTGTAGGATTTTAAAACATTTTTTATCAATGTGAAACACCAATTTGGAGAGATGCACAGACAGGCTAGGAAAACCCTGGATGAAACTGCCACAGTCTGGCTGGGCACAAATGCCGCAGTCTGGCTGGGCACACAATCACGAGCCACCACACAGCTTGTAGATTCAAACAGCAACTCTTTATTCCCGAACTCACACCAGCCGTCTGCAATCACGTTCTGGGGAAATCCACGTTCTCTTCCCAAATCCACGTTCTCTCCCAAATTCACCTCCACTGGGCTTCTATCTCCAAAATATACTGTCTGAATCCCGTGAGAACTCAAGGGGAACTCAGGCAGCAGGATACGCCCTATTCCCAGCAGGAATAATCTTAAACCTTAAACCTGGAACCTAAACTGGGAACGCCCTAAACAGGATTATCTTAAAACCGGGAACACCCTAATCTGCCTTGGTCCTTGAGCAAGGTCACCTACATATAATGTCACTGCAACATGTCAGCAACATGGGGTACGCTGGCAAGGAAATTGTCATACCTACTTGGCTAATGGCTCCCAGCATGAAACTGTAGATATTGAGCTCCTGTCTAAATGTCAGAGTCTCATAAAAAGAATAACAACAACAACAAACTTTATTTAGATCTCCCTAGGAGGAAGGTGTGTAAAGGAAAGAAAGATTGAACAATCTTTTGCAGAGTCAATGGTTTACATCTAGAAGGCAAAGCACTGAGTGACAAACAATTGCAAAATCCACACAAACCCTCTGAGAGGAGGATGTGGATTGGATGGACTAAAGGCCATGGGTCCAGGCATCTTAATAATAGTCTCCTACACACAACTAATGGAATAAAAAAAGGGGGGGGATTTTTTAATGAAAGAATAAATGTATGCATGGATCAAAAGTTTATGTGCTTCAAAAAGAAGTGCTAGGGAAGAATTCACCGTTTGTCATATGCTAGTCAATTTCTTGAAATCCAGGGATAAGGAAAGATTTCTGCAGTCATATAAGCAAAGGACTTATGAGACAGAAGGCCTACTGTCTTCAGATATCTACACAAATACTGAAGGTGAATAGGAGAATCTACAGCAAGGTACAGGAAACTGAAATCGCAACCCTGGAATGTTATACCCAGCCAATGTGTCCAGCAAGTGCAATGGTAACAATGTTTGTAGGTATGACTGCCTGAATTAAGGAAATAAGAATTGATGAAAACTTCCAGAAAACACAATATCATGGCAACCCATGACATGGCAAAATTATGATTAAAGGGTGAATGTTAATTATTGAGATTTTATATATAGAACTTGAACAAATGTTATTAATATACATGGTTATAGAAAAATGAATTTAGAGTTTATTATATAAACATGCTCAGGGCTAGATAACTATATCTCACTGGTAAAACATTTACCTAGAATGTGCAAGGTCATGAGTTCCACCCCCAACACTAAATTTATAAATAAATAAATAAATTCGATATATAAGTAATTCTGTAAGAATAGATACAGGATCTGTAATTTACAAGTCAAGAGAGGATAAGAAATAAGAACAAAGAATAGTAACATCTCTATTTATCCAATAGGATAAATCATTTTTAAAGTAAAAAAATCACAAATAACATATGAAATGAGATTATAGAAATAAACCCATATAAGTCAAAAATTGAAATGAATATAGAATAGCTTAGTGAAATATTAATTTTATCAGATTAGATGATGTATTAGTACAGTTTTTGTTACTATAGTAAAATACTCGTGGCTGAAATGATACAAAGAGAAAAGGTTTGTTTGGCTCACAGTATCGACCTCAGTTCAGTCAGAAGAGGACTTGGTAGCAGATTACATCACTATTGACATCTGAAAGAAAGAGATCCTGTTGTAAAACAAATCCAAAGAAGCTTGGGATTCAAGGAAGGTTTTTCATCAACAATCTTGTTATAAGAACTAACTCAGGGTCCCCTTGAAACTTACTATTCGTTCCAATGCCAGCTCCCCCTCCCCCAGTGACCTAAACTCCTCCCACTAGGCCTCACCTCTTGGATCTCATTCCTTTATTAACTTTGACACACTGAGGACCAACTTTCAGTGAGTTACTCTTTACTGAGTGCTAGCTCTGGGGCAGACACTGCTTGGATGGTTAGGATGTGTCAAGGAGTAATAAAGAAAAACTAAGACCCCTGCTGCAAAGAACGTGTGTCTTGCCAGGAGAAACAGACAATATGTAATAAACACAATAAATAAAATAGACAAATGGTTTTTTTTGGAAATTGTAGTGCCTAATAAATGAAAGAAAAATTAGGAAGGATTAGAAGGACCAAGGGAACCCCAGAAAGAGGACAGTGTGGGAGTGATAAGTAGGGTGCTTGGGCCATTTAAATGAAGGCATTAATCTGCTCCTATCTTACACAGCAGCATTCCAAAAAGAGATAACAGAGCAAAGGTCCAGTGTAGAAGAATCCCAGGAATGTTCCAGAAATAGAAAGGAGGCTGATATGACTGTTGTGGAGGAAAGAGAGGGAGCAGTGTTGGATGTGATCCAGTAACCAGATAGTAGGGGACACAGGAGAGTGAAGTGATCTGACTTACATTTTCAAATGGCAATTTTTGCCGTTCCCCTTGAGAATCTAGTGTAAAGGGCAGGGATAGGATCAGGAGAGGCATCTATGAGCTAGGGCAATAATCAGGCATGAGATTATCATGGCTGCATTAGGAGGGCAGCAATGAAGGTGGTGTAGACTCGTTGGATTCCTGATCTAATTTTGAAGCAAGAGCCAAAGGCTGTCATGTGTGATCAACAGTGCGTGAGAGGAAGAAACCTGAGAAAAATGGCTAAGGAATTTTCAAGAGAAAAAAATAAAAAACTCTACAAAGCATAAAAATGCATCATGTCATGCAAAATAGAATTGAACATGGTTTTTACAGAAACTAGAGACTTAAGAATTGTTTTGTAAATCAAGTAATCCACAATGACATTTGAGAAATTAACATATTTTAAATGTGTTTACCTGCATCTTTGGGGGAATATATTACACTTTATACAACAAGCCAACTACAGGCTCATGCTTTCTCTCAGCCACGCTGCTCATTCAGCCTGAAAGACTGTTCTTTCTTTTCTTCACCTTGCAAATAGATTTCCTCCCTTTCAAAAATAGCTTGCAAAATTCCACATTCTAATCATCCTCCATGCTCCAGTACTAGCAGGAGTCATTAATGTCCTCATCTTTACAGGATACATACTTTATGGGACGGTTTACACACTATGCTTCACCTTGGATGTGTTTACCCAGCTGTTTCTCACCTGAACTGTCCTTCCCCTTTCTTTTTTCTCTTCTCAGCCCGAGAACACAGTACAGTGCTTGGCAAATGGGAGAGAGCCAATGGATGCTTTTGAATTGACATTGAGTGGATACCTCTAAACAGGAATAGGTCCAGGTGACACATCAGAAAATTCATCTCAGTTGTATGTGTCAATAAGTAGAGGGGGAATACAAATCCGGAGTTAATTTTACATATCTTTGTATCTGTAGTTAGGTACAAATCTGAGGTTTTTGCCATGCCCGTTTGGTCACATTTTATTTCTGCAAAGAACAACTTTAATAATGCGCTATTGAAAAGTTGTAACAGCAAAGTGGAAGGAGGAGAGGGAGGGTGCACCCGGTGCAGGAAAGATGGTGGAATGAGATGGACATCATTACCCTAGGTAAGTGTATGACTGCTCCTATGTTGCAACTCTACATGGTGTACAAGGAGAGAAATGTAAAGTTGAAATATAAAGAAAAAAATAAAACTGCTGCAGTTGGGTACAATGAACCAAAATGCATTCTGCTGTCATATATACCTAATTAAAATAAATTTTTAAAAAATTGTAACAGCCCATATTTCTAGCCACCTTAAAGGTATAGTGGTGTGTGTGTGTCTGTGTGTGTGTGTGTGTGTGTGTGTGTGAGAGAGAGAGAGAGAGAGAGAGAGAGAGAGAGAGATTTGCTAATAAGTAAAATAATTAAGGGTGGAAAACTAAGTCAGAGCCAATGCCGCTTGTGGCATCTCCAGCATCAGTGTGCAGTGAGCACTTCGTGAAAGCAGGTAAGGCATCAGTACCTGTATTAAAGAAGGTACCTCCACTAGATAACAGCAAGAAGAAAAAGAACATGCACAGATAGCAACGGCTGACCTTGCTTTTCCACCAGACTTGAGCTTCCCATTCGGTAAGTATCATTCTCCAGATTATATAGGATTCTTTCCACTGTTTTAACCTCTGCTTACCAAAGCACGACCTTGAACGTGGCAGCGTTTTCTCAACGACTTAGCCTATCGACCCCAACCCAAGTAAACCTCCGCTGCGCTCTTCAACAGGAATCAACTCAAAAGTGTTTCGCCTATATGTTTAAGGTATATTTATCTCAACAATTCTCTCAGTTCCTTGGGAACTGTGCGCTTGGGGATCCCAGCTCAGGGAAGCTTATTTCAATGCTGGACTTGTGAAGAAAATGTGCTGCAGCAAACGACTGGAGCGCGCAGGCTGCCAGGGAACTGCGACGGCCGTCCAAGGAGGCAGCCAGCCGTGTGCAGGGCTGCGCGGGAGGCTGCAGCTGCTGACGTGCCCGGTGCAGTGTTTTGGTGACATCTGAAAAGGCAGACAGATGTTGGAAGGACAAAGTGACCACACTGAGCAAGGCACAAGGTAAATCTAATTTAAATAACGGTAGAAATAGAGAGCTTTTCACAATGATAAAGCAGTTCCTGTTGGGGATTACAGGAGTCTCTGAAGATTGTTAAACGTACTCTCAGCTCTGCCTTTCCATCCACCAGCTACCAATTCATTCTCTCTCTCTCTCTCTCTCTCTCTCTCTCTCTCTCTCTCTCTCTCTCTCTCTCTCTTCTTTCAACCTTGCCTTTATCTATTAAACACACACATTAGCCTACACCCTGAAGAATGGGTAGACAAATAATTGCTGATTGGTCTCATGTCTGCAGAGTACAGTTTCCTGCTAGTAATTTCTGTCTCTTCCTCTGTAACATATCCTCCAATGTTTGCCTAAGCCAGGAATTCTCAGAATACTCCCATTTCATTTGGACTCTTTACAGGAAAAGAACCTTAGGAACTATTCAATGTTGGAATTGAGCACAACAGACCTGGTGGACACCCCATGACAAAGATGCTATAGAGACTGATCATTTCAAAGAAAACTATTCAACTTAGTCTTCTTAAAGAAAATATATAGTTGAAAAGAACTTCTATGAACCAGCTAAAATTTTACTCCAGCCGTGGGCCTAAAAATCTTAATTATGGAATACATTTTTCTGTAAAGTCTTCATACACAAAATTTCAAAATAAGAGTCTTTTCCAACTGGTGAAGAGGGACCCTCCAGAGAGATTTGCTTCACAACCATGTCTCCCTTGTTTTCAGATAAACTCTACTGTGTATCTAGGATCCTTTTCCTTTATTCCTGATTCTTTGGATCAGTGCCTTTTTTTATGTAGGCCGAAAAAAAGATAATGTGAAATCCCTTTCTTAACCAAAAAAGGTGATCCCCCTCTCCTAGTCCTCAAGCACAGATATCTCAAGAGCTATTCCTTCCCTGCTTTAAAGAAACAGGGAGGTTTAATGTGCACATGTGAGACATTGAATTGCTAATTCAAATGGCACATTATTGATTCTAATTATATTTTCTTTTCAGAGAGGGGATGAGTTCTGTCATTTCATTTTTAGTGAGAAAGTGACTCACAATTTTTTCAAAAATAAGTAGAATATTGATCCCTGTGCTTTGCCGCTCCACTTGGGCACAATTTCCGAGAGTGAGAGCCAGGCCTTTGCAACTCAGAGTTCTAGGGATATACTGAAAAGCTAATAAATGAACAAATGAATGAAGCACTGTATCAAAGGAGCAGGTTTGAATAAGATAGAAAAGAAATGCCCTCTGATATAACTCAGTTGGTAGAGTGCTGGCCTCACATGCACAAGGCCATAAATTCAATCCCCAGCACCAAAAGAGAGAGAGAGAGAGAGAGAGAGAGAGAGAAATGCACTTTGATACAAAGTTTATTCCTCAGGGTGAATAAATAGTTAATGGAGCTGGTAGCAGTGGCTCAAGCCTGTAATCCCAACTGCTGCTCAGGAGGCTGAGACAGGAGGATAATGAGTTCAAAGCAAGGCATTAAGCAATTCTCCGGGACCCTGTTTCTAAATAAAATACAAAATAGGGCTGGGGATGCTGCTCAGTGGTGGAGTGTCCCTGAGCTTAATCCCTGGTACTCTCCCCCAAAAAAGTTAATGGAATAAAAGAAGTTACATTTCCCCAGAGGAAAAACACATCCGTTTACATTAAAGGATTGGATTTTTCATATTTAATAGAGTAGTATAAATCAGGAAAAACACCTAAAATAATGCTATTTTTCCCGTATTTGCTTTTCTTGCTTCCTGTGTTTATTTACTCCTAACTTATCTCATTCACAAAGAATTTTACTACAGGAAAGTGTAAATCCAGGGGCCAGACTTATGCATAGAGATGCATGTCTTAGGTGTTGCATGATGGAAAATTATTGCTGGACTCTTATTTTAGTAGACCATTCCTTTGATATCTCTGAATGAAAGACACCTGAAATATAGTTCATTTGCATACCATGCTCCACCTCCAGCGGTCACTTTCATAACTGGCTATTCATACAATTTGTTATTAATTATTGTTACATGACACGGTGTGATAGGACACATGAAAGCAATAATACACACATAGGTGTTTGTATTACTCAGATTAATGCAGCAAGATCTCTGGATGCTGCCTTCTCATATATTAATATTTAGGAGCCTTCCAATTAATTCCCCATTACACTGACCAAGCCTGTACTGGAGGGGGATGTGGAAATGAGAGCTCTCCTCCAGTACTCTTGGTAATGTAAGTTGGGACAAGTACATTGACGATCAACTTAGTGGTTTTTACTAGAGATGAAGAACTTCATATCCCATAAACCGGCAATTTCGATCTTCCACTTAGAGCTCCAAAACACAAGTCCTCATGTGCATGACAACCATGGCTTCCACCATGGAAACTACATCACTGTCCATAAAGGACAATGACACAGCTTGTGTTCATTAGTTTCATAAAATGGAATAACCACAGTGTTTTAATGGAATTGTATACATTGTGATGAATTTTTAAAAAAACATAATTTTAAGTGAATAAAATGTGCTTCAGATGCCATTTAAAATAACATTTATATAAATTAAGGAATAAATTTCTAGGCTGGGGTTGTGGCTCAGCAGTAGAGTGCTCTCCTAGCACCTTCCAGGCCCTGGGTTCAATCCTCAACACCACATAAAAATAAATAAATAAACAAAATAAAGGTATTATGTAAACCTAAAAAATAAATATAAAAAAGAGAAACAAATTTCTCTCACTTCATACATATTTGCATATGTACCTGTGTATATGTATAAATAAATATGTATTTATGTTGTGTGCGTAATTTTTAGGAACACATAAAATCGGAGGCAGAAGAACCATAAACCTAGTGAAGTATTCCTAAAACTGGCTCATCTGGTCCTTGTTCTGACCCCACCTGTAGGCTTACATCCTGCTCCATTTTCCCAGATGCTACCCAGAGCATATCAGTGTTTTTGTTTTGTTTTGTTTTGTAACATGTAACAAAATGTGAACATTTCAAAACATACAAAACAACTAAGTGGAAATTAGACTCTTAAGATAAATGTCATATGCCTTCCTGTCTGACTTTTATTAATTTTGAGTATTTTCTTCAGATACCTAGTTGTATGATGGTTTCTGAGTAGTGATCACCTTTGGTGACAGATTCGTCTCCCCCTGTTGTCCAAACAGATAAAATCAAGCAGTCTAGAAACAGCGAGGCTCTCCCTTCCCGTTATTTGTAAGCTGACAGAAGGGAGACAGACACCTTCTGAAGTTTTATGCATGCTGTTTTCTCTCCTTGCTGCAACAAGAAAAGCCTTTCATTTTAACCTGGCTGTTTTTGAAGAAGTGACTCAGACAACTTCATGGCCTCTAAAGGTAAGAGTAAATATAGCCAGCTAATGAATTATCCTTCCAAATGACTAAAAACACAGTTATTGAGGTGTTACACTCAGCAAGACTGATACATTGTGGGCTGCTATTTGTTGCTTTTGAGTTTCTCATTTTAAAATTTTTTACTTAAAGGAGTACACAGCATTAACACACACACACACACACACACTTGCACTCACACACTTTATCTCATAGAATGTAAAAATTCAAATGTAAAAAAACATGTTTGCTTTCATGAATTTAAATAGCAAATTTAGAAAAAGAAGAAAGCTTCATACCAAAAATTGAGAACGAGAAAATTGAATGTCAAACCTAAGGAAAAGATGAAGTTCTGAATTTAAAGGGATCTGAAGAAAATTTTTCGCATCTTAGTGAGAAGGCTTTTAAGTACAATTCAATAATTTTTAATTTCCCATTTGTTATGCAAACTATGTGATAAAGTATTTATACGAAGAACACAAGACTATGCAGTATTCAGGGAAGAAAATTAAGAATGTGTAATTGCTAGACTAAATTTGATTAACCACAAATGAATATTTCTTCTGGTTTATGAATTTAAAAATTTTCACAATTTCTTTGATAATAAATTAATTTAAAAGAATCTAAAATATTTAATTTAAGCAAGGGAATCAATTAGGGACTTTGGAGACAAGGGTCTGGTAAATTTTTTATTATATCCTTAAAACTATAGAAATGCTGTTAGTGTTTTCTTAAGTTCTCAAAATATGTGGGTTTTTCCCCCTCCAGGGAAATAAGTTGCAATTTCCCAGAAAGCACTTGTGTAATTGTATAAAAATGAAACTGTAACATGCCTTTGTTCCATTGTCAGAACAAACATTTAAACTCAAGGCTAAAAGGCTTTAGCATAAAGAATTATGATTTGTATAATTGGTGGAAACTTTTAAACCTATTTAAAATAAGTCCGAAAGTTTATAATATCCTAAATTCAATTAATGAACTATTAAAATATCCATACTTCCTTTCTGAAAGCACAGTTCAGACAGTATTTAACATTAAACAAATAATTTATTCTTTCCATTTTTATTCACTGTTTAATATAGGCCAGTCCCTGAGAAAAAGAGGGAAAACTTACAGGCCAATTTTAAAATACATACAAGAAACAGCAAAATGTGAATTTTAATACATGCATACTTCATTGTCTATATTTAAAGGCAAGCAAAAACCTTGATCAGAATTTTCTTTCATTTAATAATAACACTAACACTTATTCCAAAACTCTTCATCACTTTATGAGAGTTACAGCAACACGGTAGCCTGTAAGGTAAAGAGTTGCAGAATACGTAAAATATTTATAAGCTGGTTATACATTTTTTAAAAGAGTAGATAGAAATTCAAAGCCAGATAGAAATTCAAAGGATTTCCTTCTTCATCTGGTGGTCTGGGTCTTTGAAGAAACTTGTGACTAGAAAGCAATGCTATGATCAAAATGTGATTAATCTACCCCCAAAAAGCAGTGATGTTCTGTAATGATAAGGACTTAAGACTAAACTTAGAGGCAAAACTTTGAGTGGAAAAAGAACCCCCCTTCTGCAGTTTACTGGTAAAATTTAACACACGGTGTGGTTATAACACTGTAATAGGCCCAATAGTTCTTCAAAGAATTGAAGTAACAATAAAGCTATATTTTCAGTTAGAAATATTGTTTGACTAGATGATAATATGACTAGATTGTCATCATCATAGATCTAAACCCTTTTTGAGGATTTTTCTTCAAATTTATGTGAAGACACTACTTGTAACTTCATAATGGTTTCTGGCCCATGAACCTATATTGTTGGTTAGCATCCCCCAGGGAATACAGGTGAGGTGGACATTTCATAAGCAGGTCCATCTGCACTACTAAAGCAGAGGGCAGTCTGAACTGGAGGACATCATGAGGAATCCTGAGGTCTGGAAACCCTGGTTCAGTATAAATAAGTACATTTAAGAACAAGTTGTCCTCAAATTGAGAACAAGTTTGAGAAAAGAACAAGTTTCTCTGGTGAAGAGAAACTACCTCCAGAGGTGATTGCCATGTAAACTGATATCTCAGAGAATGAAGCAAGTGATCTCAGGATGATGATGTCTCTCAACAGTCTGAGACAGAAACACAGCAATATTCCATTCCTGAATAAAGACTTTGGGCACTGAATCCTCTGGGTTTCAAGTGCACCAATGCTTAAGGACCTGCTGTGAGTTTAAAGACCCGAGAACTTGGGAAGGAACGTACAGTCATTTGCCCAACACTTAATAACCCACTGCACTGTGTTACAGCAATTTACAAGATAAAATTGGAGCAATTTGACAATCTTTAAAAAAACGGGGGGGGGGGGTGAGATAGATCCTAATAATCTTATTCCAGATATTGTGTTAGAAATTAATCTTATGTACTTTTTATTTTATTGGGAGGTGTGGTACCAGGGATTAAACTCAGGGACACTCAACCGCTGAGCTACATCCCCAGCCCTAGTTTGATTTTATTTAGAGACAGGGTCTCACTGAGTTGCTTAGCGCCTCACATTACTGAGGCTGGCTTTGATCCCACGATCCTCCTGTCTCAGCCTCCCAAGCCACTGGGATTACAGGCATGCACCACCGTGCCTGGTCTTATGTACTTTTTAAATTGCAAGATAACATATGACCATTAAAATCCATAAACAGCACCCTGTTGTTTTGTTGTTTCTTAATAAAGGTGCATGCCTGTAACCACCAGCAAGAGAAAGATGTGCAACATTTCTGGCACCCCCTGAAATTTCTGTTTAGAACCATAACCCTGCGTTCCCATGTTCATTCCAAAAATGAACCTCTACTCTGAATTTTATCATGGTGAACTAGTTTTCTCTACATCATGTTTTTGCCTCTGTGTTTTTTGAAAATTAATGATGGCAGTGCTTTTGGCACTAATACTGGAAAAGGATGTCGATTGCCTTTTAGTATTTCCCAGATGCCGTTGCTATATTGGCACTTACCTCACCTCCCAATTCTGAACTAGTGTTACATAGTCTTCCAGTAGGACTCACACTTGGGATCCCATTTCAGGGCCCCTTCCCGAGAGCAAGAGGAGTTCGAAAGCTTGTCTTTTCTGACCGTCCAAGATCTAAGAGAAGTTCAGGATGGGATTTCTGGGAGAAGCAAACTGTTAGAGTATCATCAGCTCTATTTCAATGGGGTCAAATGACACATTTTTCCATTTGGTCATAATAGTTGAGCATCTCCTGTAAAGATTCTAAATGTCAAAGACCTGTACAAACTTAGCCATCCTACGTTAAGAATAATAAGCCCAATTTCGTCCCGCAGCCTTCACATTCAATAAATAAATGGATCATCTGGCAATTGTCCTTCATTAACATTATATGTACACCCAATGCTAATGAGCCTGTCATTGCTAGAATCAAATTATGTCAGTATCCAAAAGGTCATTCCTCGAGTGTCTTTATTTCCTCATCATTTTTTAATACCCATCCAGTTGCTCATTCAGGGTATACTTGAGTTTTCTTAGTGATAGGAAATGTATTATCTTCAAAGGAAATAATGCATTTTTTAAAATTTATTATTATAGTTGAGATGCAATAGACAGAGAAAAAAATATGCCTCTTGTATTAGTCAACTTTTCATTGCTGTGAAAAAAATATTCAACTAGAACAACTTAGGGGAGAAAAAGTTTATTTTGGCTTGTGGTTTCAGATTTAGAAAGGGGACCAACTTCGTGGCTCTGGGCCCAAGACGAGGTGCACATCATGGTGGAAGGATATAATGGAGGAAAGCTGCTCAGCCCCTGGCACCATCAGGAAGCGGAAGTGGGGATTTCAGGGGCTACAGGAAAGATGACCCATCTCCTACAGCCACAACCCACCTCCTACAGCCACACCCCACCAGCCTACAGTTACCACCCTGTTAGTCCATTCACACTAGGAAGGATGGATTGGTTTATAGCTGTCATAATCCAATCAGCTTACCTCCAAACATTCCTGCATTCGCATAGGAGCTTTGGGGTGACACATCGCATCCAAACCTTAACACCTCCCATAAACATACTTTCATGAGTTTGGTGTCATTTTTTAATTAACAGCATTGTGATGTATTTTTACTGATATATATGTTACTTCAATATTAATATGTGCACAATGAGATATAACACTTCTTCAAAAATTTTGAGTAGGTATTGTAAATTTCTCTTTTGTATAAATCCAGAACCAGTTTCCTTGTCCCTTCCATTCATGTGTCTTTAGAACAGTCAGAATCACATGCACCTATTGCATAATGAAATTGCAGCCAACTAGATGAACAAATAGGACAGTGGTCCCATGAGATTATTGCCTACTGATGTCTCAGCCACCTTCCTTTGTGAACTATACTTTATGGTGTTCACACAATGAAATTGCCTTATGACACATTTCTCAGAACATCAATCCACTGTTGAGCAATGCTTGACTGTACTTTGTTTACATAATAGCCTCTATCATTTCTGAAAATAAGTCTTTGTTAGTCATGCTCCACACCTACACCCAATCTAAAACAACACAATGCACTAGCTAAATCTACCTGCAAAATTCTGATTCTTTGTGGAAAAAGATGAGAAGTGAAAACACTTTTAGTCTTTGAAAAAAGACTCACTATCCAATGACAGAGACACCCAAATGGTAGTTACATGAGAAGAAAAAGAGCAACTACTAGGAGCAAGTCTATCATTTATACTTTAAAATTAAAAAAAAAAGACTTTTGTATGCATCATGTTCAGGTGTTATACATAATATTATGAAGAATAATGTATAATAAATACATTAATAGTATGCCCTATAGTAAATACATAAATAACATCCCTCCATATTTGAAGTTCCAAATCTGAAATTCCTTTTTCTCTGACTTAGGGGTCAAGTGTTAGTGGCAAAAGTGGTGTAAATTAAAGAAAGGCCACTAAAACGAGAGCTGCAAGAGATTATCTGAGCTAAGAAGTAACGTATTTTAAGATGGAGTAAATGAGTTGGCCTTAAGATTAAATATGTGTTGAGACTTTCATTCTCTTGCAGATGCACATACCCCAAAAAGCAGAGGGCTGCCTCGTTTTCTTCCTGGAGCTCCAGACACAGAGCAAAACCCTAATCCAGGAAACCAAGAATGGCGGCCAGGTCTCACTCCACCAAGCAGCTTCTTGCCAACAGTCTGCCTCCCCCCTGGTCTAGAATATTTAAGCCAGGTATTTACATCTTTCTGTTTCTATGAATTTTTCCCCTTAAAATTAATACAAACTTGATTTCTTGCTTTTTAACCAAGTTTGAAAGATCTTGACCAATAATTTGCTAATGTGAGAAAGACATTATAAAACATGAAATTATAAAATATTAATTTTAAAGTTATTTTGGAAGACATTTGTTTTATTGTTGCTTCTATTTTCCTTATTTACTTGACAGAGTGATGACACTAAGTATTTTTGATAGAGCTGTTTAGCACATTTATCTACCTTATGTTCATTGCTCGAGGTGTTGGGAAATTTACCCTCAAGGAATTGTCTCATATGCTTAAGTCACTTACCGCCATTTAATTAAAGAATATTTATTGAGTATGTGCCATACTCGAGGCATATAAAAAGCATGAAACCTAGTCCCTCTCACCCAAACATTCTGCATTATTTTACAACAGGCAAAACAAACAAAATGTTTATAAATAGTGCAAGCCTGTGTACAAAATCAAGGTGAACACAAACTTGTAAAATATTCAGGGATACCAAGGAGAGAAATGTTATACTTCAAAGAACCTGGGGGCTTCTGCAAAGAAGTGAGAATTCAACCTCTTCAACTGAATCTCCAAAAGAAGATGAATATCTGAGGGAAAACAAGTCATCAAATTAACATTATCATCTTCTGATACTGTGCATCTCTAGACCAATGGCTCAAAAGATCATGTTACTATTAGGTACAGTCACTGTTCTGGTCATTGGAAAGGAAGTAGTGATTCAAACCTTGTAATAACTCAGTCTGAAAAGAGCATCATCCAAATTACATAGCAAAAAAAAGCAATTGCTCTGTGTATGTATATGTGTATGTATGTGTGTGTGTATGTATAATTGCTTTTGCATTTTATCCTATCAAAGATTAGAATCACACTAATATTGAGATGTCAGCACATCTGCTGCAATCTTCAGCTTGTCTGGCATTCTTTCAACTATAAAGTCTCTCTCTTTTATCAAAATCAAATCTCTGTGTTAATTCCCTTAAGGTACAAAAGATGTCTGTTATGCCCGATAGGGTTTAAGCTGCATGCAGCATATGTTCCTGGGAAAATGTTTATAATTGCAGATGCCTCCTCCAGAAACCCATTGGCAGACAAATGTACTTCAGAGACTGGAGAGCTCAGGGAGATGTGTAAAAGAGCTGGAAAAGCCAACCTACCATCTTCCATCTGCAGAAAGGATCAGCTGTAATAGCTGACTAGAGTTGATTAACTGCTGCAAGCTGTTTGGGAATGTTGTCAGACAAGGTTTTGCCAAGTATAAAAGTGATATACCAGTGCCAGAGGGCTGAGGTTTGATGATCACATATGGTCATCGCATATCCTTCTTCCACCCATGAATGATGACACACCCGGGGCCAGATGCTTGACACAAATACAATTTTTTTTTTTTTTTATAATTCAATGAATAGACATATGAACTCTTTGGCTTCAGTCTAAAAGGTAGAACATTTCCTAAAAATAGATTTTTGCTAAACTTTTTTCAGAAAACAAAATATACCACAAAATTATCAAACCGTTTACATGGAAAGGGAATGATAACCTACTTTATACTAAAAGACATGTATCCACTTTAAACCACATACAAAAATAAATAAGCATTTCAAAGGTGTTCCATCATGGATCTGGAAGACACACGAAAACAAATGAATTTTTAGGTGCTAATTTTGAACTAAAAAATCCATAAGTATTAAACAAGATCATGAACATTTGGTGATATTACATTTTCGATAAATAAATGAAGTCTATAATAAAAATCCTTATATATATTAAAAAGTTAAATGATTATTAATTTTTATTTTATTATCTATGAATCAAACTTATGACTATTGAGAGTATCATTTTCAAAAACAAAGATAAACATACATATATACTTACATAAGACATCAGTTAAATCTAAGAACAAAATTAATGGATGCTTTGTAGATTGGATTTGCATTCATAATAGTCAATGGCATTTTATTCTGTGGTGTGAAAGGACAATTAATTATCACAATTTACTCACCTATAGGTAAGACTAGTAAACTAAAGGCACACGTAATTTGCAATTTATTTTTGAAATACATATATGAAATGAAATCAATGATACCTGTAAACTTGATTTAAAATATTTTAAAAAGAATTGCATCTGAAGCTGAATATCCACGGCTGTGATTGTGTTTTCATTTCTACAGCTCTCATACTTAAGGAATAATTTACTTGCCCTGACACCTGAATATATAATTCAATCTGTTTAAAGTTTGCAACACTTTCTATTTCACCAACCAATAGAAAAGGACGGAAAGGGCCCATTTGGACCTTGGTTTATAAGTGCCTCAGGGCTATTTAAAGGAAACTACAAGAACAACCTAAGTCAAGATGCTCAAATCCACGAGGCTTGTCCACAGAGAGAAATCAAATCCAATCTTATTACAGAGGATGAGGTAAGTATGAGAGTGAGGAAAACACAGAGGAAGGGCATGCAAGCTTTAGAGTGTCCCTTAAGAATTCTTTCCTCTTGTCCCTTGGTCTAGTGATGGCAGTAAAGTGAAAGTCGAAGGCTCGTCCAAACTGGTGGCCCCTTATGTACGCTGTGATCTTGGGGTATTTCCTGAATTTTTCTGGAACTGTTTCCTCATGCATTAAATTAGCAATATCTATCTGAGTTTTTGTGAAGATTATATCAGAGATTAGGTTAAAATATGTAGCACAGTCACTAACCCCATTGTAGCCAATTAGTAACAACCACTACATCAGAGAGGTACAATTTCCCTTTTCATTGTGAGGTCACTCTCAATTGATAGTTTCAGATTTTCAAGACTAAAATTCAACTCATGGCACCAACATTCAGAGTTCCTAAACTCAAGCACCTTAGACCTGACCCCACAGATGTCAATCACTAAGCTACTTCTGCACAAATCCACTGCTAAATAATCACATAGACCCTTTTGACACCTTTTCTTTTCCCACGATTCATCATTTTCCCAGATGTAATGCAACACACTACAAAAGACTTTTCTAAGTTTTTAAGAAATTGTCTGCCACAATTGTTGATACGGTTTTGGAATAAAATTATTTTGAGAAAAATATTTTGGGAATCTTAAAAAATAGTCCACATGTAGTCTTTTATCAATAATCAGATTTAAAAAGAGGAAATGGTATAGATTTTATCCCCAACTCAGGATATACAAATGAGGGGATAATGTAGCTTCAAATTTTCTGGGTATGTGGTATTCAATCGAGAACCAAGTTTTATCAATCATTGGCTTGGTTCAACAATTCCTGGAGTGTTTATTAATGTGATGCAAGAATAAAGCGCAGAAAATTTGGAGGTGAAATAGAGAGTGAAACATTAGAAAATAAAATGATCATCAGTATTTTCAGTGTTCATAATTTTGCTTAGTGAATTTCCATCCTTATTTTATTTTATTTTATTTGTGTATGTACTGGGCATTGAACCCAAGGGTGCTTTGCCACCAAGTCACATCATCCCCAGCCCTTTTTTCACTTTTTATTTTGAGACAGGTCTTGCTAAATTGCTTAGGGACTCACTAAGTTGCTGAGGCTGGCCTTGAATTTTCAGTCCTCCTGCCTCAGCCTCCCAAACCACTGGGATTACAGTCATGCGCCACTTCGCTCAGCTCTTCTTATTTCTCTTAAAAAATCATTTTGCACTACATACTTTTTAATGTCATTTCTTACCTGTCTTGGATAGCTTATGTGTGAAAATTGATCTCATTGTAATTATGTTACAAATTTATGTCACTATTCAGTAGCAAATCTCTTATTCTGCTTAATAGATATTTTGTTGGGATCTACTGGTTTCTTTCTTTCTTTCTTATTTTTTTTTCTTTTGTAGCCCAAAGGTAAGTGAATGAGAGATGTTCATAGTATAACTTCTTTTAAAATTTAATTCCATCACTAAGAGGAAGGAGCTGTGACTGAGGAATAGGGTTTGAAGGGAGAGGTTAGTCATTCAAATCATCATTGTCACTTTATTTCTTTGAGTTTTAAAACATCTTAGGTCTTATTATTCAGAGATTAATAGAAATTTTTTCAAAGGTTATCTTCTTTTCTTTCTTTCTCTCTCTCTTTCTTTCTCTCTTTCTTTTGTTTTTGTTTTGTTTTATTTATTGTGACAGAGAAAGTTAGCAGAATTAACCACTGTTGCTTTTCCTATTCTTGGCAATTGTTTCCTTCAGTTTTAAGGGTTCCTGTAAAATTTTTGTGTGAATATAAAACATTTTATCCTCTTCTTAATTATGAAATGTGAGCTGTTTTCAACCATTCTAATAGAAAACATGACAATCATCTGTTTTGTGTATTGTAGTAAGGAGATTAATAGTAATCTCTCTGGATGTTTTCAAAGCATTGTGATGTAATTCTTTTTGTTTCCTTTCTGTCATCTTTTCACAGTTAGACCTGATAATTATACACCAGCAGGTGGAGCTTCTCGGAAGTAAGTGTATTATCTTCTACATTTATTAAAATTGTTGAAAATATTTTAGTTCTCAGAAGTTTCTTTACATCTAAATATGTTCAACTGAGCTGGAGATGTATCTCAGAGGTAGAACGCTGGGGTAGCACATGTGAGGCTTGCCTAGACCTGGGTTCGCTCCTCAGCACCACATAAAAAATAAGCAAATAAAATAAAGATATTTTGTCTATCTACAACTATAACAATAATAATAATAATAATAATTTGTACCATAGAGTTAAATATATAGAGAGAAGAATTATATCAAAATGAGCACTTGGTCTTTTACTTAATAAAAGCACCAAGTAAAAGAATTAGTATGATTTAAATACAAATAGAAAACTCTAAGTCTTTGGTGCTATTACTATCCAAATTCTCACATTACATTTAATGTTAAATAAAAAAATGTATTTTAGCATTCCCAAAGATGTTAGTCATTTACATTTCTTAACAGGTTCAGAAATGGAAATCAAGGTTGAGACTAAATAACAAAAATCTACCAAAATTATAATACACCACGGTTTTATCGGTTCCTCAGTGATTCACCAAACAGGCAAATTATTTCTCAGGACACAAATGTATGAGGATGACTAACTGATTTCAAATTACTTAAGTGTTTTCTGTTCTAAATAGTCTATATTATTCCTAAAATGTTTCAGAATTGAGATACATTATTAAATGGAACACAGTTGTAGATGTATTACCAGATAGAGATTTAGACACAATCATCACTATTACTATAAGTTGTCCCAAACTTGCATAACAATGATGAAGCTATTATTTGAAAAGTAGATTCTGGATAGCATTGGTTCTTTAGCAGACAAGTGCATGAGTAGTAATAGTTTGGCAATCACAGTTAATTAATTACATAGCTTTGTTCTCAGATTTTACCTTGATAAATAGATAAGACCTCAAATTTTAGAGCATAGAAATAGATTTGTATAAAGAATAATAACCTCTACTTATTTTAAAGGGTTGATACTGACCTAAACATTATTTTATAAAATAAAATAACTTTTTTCTCTATTAGTGATACTTGGCACTGAGACTTCTAACAAATATGAGATTAAAAATGGCTTGGGACAAAGAATTTACTTTGCAGTGGAAGAAAGCATTTGCTTCAATCGTACTTTCTGTTCCACTCTGAGATCCTGCACCCTGAGAATCACAGATAACTCAGGTCGAGAGGTGATCACAGTAAACAGGCCCTTGAGGTGTAATAGCTGTTGGTGCCCTTGCTACCTGCAAGAGGTTAGTCTCTGAATTTTTCTTTTGTTCAAGGTTAGTCATTGTTTCTTTAAGTGATATGATATTTGTCTGGAGCTGTGGAACAATTAACCTTTCCAGTGTTAAATTAGTATGTTGCTCTTTAGAATCAGAAGAGCTTGAGGATTTGGGGAGTCACTAAATTTTTCCCTTTCCAACCAAAGACAGGTAGCCTCCATGATGTTAAATGGTTAAGACAGCTCATGCACATGAGATGCACCTCTTGAACTTCTGTACTAGATATATTGTTGTGACATCTATACACTCCACCCTGGGCAGATGCACCCTTGTCTTCTGCAAGAGTAATAAAGTTCAGGAGGTGCTAATGATGCTATTAGTCTAGAGGCAATGATTCAGTCATTTAATCATAAAATACAATAGCTTTTTATCATTATTTAATTGACCTATAGCAATAACTTTCACTGACATATTAATTTAACTTGACACCAAACTTTTCCTTACTTTATTGACTTTTATATGTCATTTCTATGAGCTAGTGAACAAGTTTCACTCTGCACTTTTTGTAGTTAAGGAAACTGGGGTTCACAGAATGGAGGCACTTGTTCATGATCGCACACCAAGGGAATGTTATTTGTCAAGCTTGATCTAAGTGTCCTGATCCAGTCCCCAGATTCTCTGTTGAAGTCCTGTATCCTAAGTATTGTTCTAAGTGTTATCAAAAGCTCTGTCCTTGGACCAATGCCAATCCAATAACAAGGACACAGTTTTGAGAGAAAGGAAAAAAAGTTTTATTACTTTGCTAGCAAAGGAGAATCAACAGGGGACTGCTGTTCCAGAGGTTGTGGTTCTCCCCACTAGGAGGAACAGGAGGTTTTTAAAGAGGTGATTCAAGGGCTCCATTCCATATGTTCTCTGTGTTAATTTGGGAGATAGTCATTTCTGAGATCTTCTGGTGCCATCCCCAAAGTCTGAATTAATTTGTTCCTGTAGTGGTTGTGTGCTCACGGAAACATAACTCTTCCTAGGATGGGGAAGAAAGGTAATTCTGTTTCCCCTGAGAGTAGGGAGGGGGAGAGAAAATGGGGGGGAAAGAAAGAAACGTCCGTTTTTAAAATAAGTCATAGTAGTAGAGCAGCAAATACTATATTTCAATCATAAAGTGGAACACTGTTACATAAGTACAAGGGCAATAAATATTCAAACAGAAGACAGTTACTTAGGGAAGTTTCTAACAACATCTATTGAAATTATTTCTCTATTTATGAAAAAGTACCTGGCTAAACCATAAGATGTCTCATACACGGAGCCCAAGAATTTGCTTTTGTGTGTGTGTGTGTGTGTGTGTGTGTGTGGTGCTGGGGATTAAACCCAGGGCCTTATGCATGTGAGGTAAGCATTCTACCAACTGAGCTATATCCCCAGCCCTGAGAATTTGCATCTTTTATGAGGATTTTGAAGGTTAATATGCCCCAAGATGTTGTAGTCTGCATAATAATAATTATGTGTCCATGAAATTTACTGATAATTGATATTTTATAACATAGTAGCATAGTGGAACATAAATTAAGATAAAATGTATCTTGATACCCATTAATATTTATTAACTTGGTCAAAAGTGCAACCAATTATTTAAAAATTGATCTCGGAACAAATATGTCATCCTTAGCAATTCTATTAAATTCACCTCTTTGTATCTAAGAACACTATAGATGTGCACATAAGACCGTGAATTCAGTAAGGAGAGTCTAAAGGATATTGGATGATGGAGAGCTGATTTAGCTTCAAAGCCAAAAAATTATATTTAAATTTGTAAGGAACCCTTACTTATCATCATACAGAGGAATTTGATTTGACTTCCATAGATATGAAAGGGTAATGGAGTCAAATTACACTTTGGAAGGCATGAACCTTACTGTTTGTTTAATAACTGTAACTCTGTAAAAGAAATTTTCTTTTAATCAAGCTCAAAGAGGCTGGAAAAACTTGTGAACATTTAATGATTGGTAAAGGAGGCTTCAAATAGACATGTGTTGTGGCAACAACTGAGAGGAAGTCAGTGGTGAGTTACCACAAGGTGAATGGCTATACTTGACCAGCTGCCTGAGATGAAAGGTATGAAGCCAGTGGGCTAGGTCAGACATTATGTTGCGGGGGAGGGGACACTGGTTGACATCTTTAGAAGCATATATTTAGAAATATTTGTAGAATACAAAAAATGATATCATAACAGCATATACTGTTTAGAGGTAAATTTGTATTAGAATGTAATTACAATATAATAACCTTTAAAAATCTCATTTTATCTTTATCTTTTCTGACAGTTAGAAATCCAAGTCCCTCCGGGTACTGTAGTTGGTTATGTTGCTCAGAAGTGGGACCCCTTTCAACCCAAATTCACAATACAAAATGCAAACAAAGAAGATATTTTGAAAATTGTTGGTCCTTGCGCAACATGTGGCTGTTTTGGAGATGTGGATTTTGAGGTATGATTGACATAATGAATAAAATTTTTTACTTAGGTCTTGATTTTTTGCAATATTATTTATTTTTTAAAATATTCAAATCATGAAATATCCATGAAATAAATTTAGAAAATAACATATTAGTGAAATCTAATAAATCAATATGTTCCACACCAACAATAACTTAAAGTTGCAGATGCTAGTTCAACAATTAAAAAAAAATACTATAAATATGCCATCCTGACCATGACATCTGCAAGCATTTTTTAATTTTTTAAATTTTAATAAAAAATTAATAATGATGATCATTATTAAATATATTAAAAAATATATATTTTTTTGCTTTGAAGCTAAAGCTAAAGTACACTTTTCCTAAAAGGGTACTTAGCTATTCTATCTCTTTTCTTAAAATAGTAAGTGCATTATTGTTTTTGATCTAAGTTTTTGAACACCAAGCTTTCTGTATATAAAGTTACATTTTTTTTAAATAATCAAGTTTTCTGATTTTGAAAGAGAGTGGTACATCCTAATTTGGGTGAATTAGATTTATACAGAATTACAAGCATACATGGTATAAAGCAAATGTGTACAGTTCAGATCACCTAAATTATGTGTCTTCTTCTTTGTAGACCTGATTGTCACATAACCCAGTTTAGATATCATTTCAGAAATGCATTCCATTAAAATATTTAAAAACTATGATTGTAAGAGTTGCTAAATTTCATTATAAAGTAATCCACTCTCAGTTTTTTATAATTGAATGTTAAAAGAGATAATTATAAATTCAGTTAGTAACAAAATGAAATATCTTTACAGATTCCTCTAGACATATATCTGTAGGCAGAGGAGATAGCTTAATTTCAAGTGTATATTTATTTTTTTATTCATTTTTTCAGTTTTCAGACTTCCAGGAACATTATTCATACATTGCAAAATTTGCAAAGTGAGATGGGCTAGTTCCACCCATTTTGAAAGGATTTGGTGTGGCTTTTTAAATGGTTAATATAACTGAGGAGAAGTAAAACATAAGCTTTAGTATCGATGGTATAGAAATGTCCTAGGTAACATTCATTCTTTTCTGACTTCTACCACTACATGGAAAGCGAAAGACCATATTAAATAACTTTCAGTGTCAGAATGGGAAACAGGGAAAAGAAATGCATAGTTGATAAAGTTGAATTGTAGACTCTTTCTAGCTGACAAGGTAGTCTTTAGTGTCAGATTATGATTTCCTTTAATATATATTAGCTTAGAGTGTTTTGTAAAGTTAAAATATGACTTAGGGTTGGTTAAAAAGGAATGACAGCAAATATCTGAGTAGAGTGTAAAGTAATTTAATAATATGTAATAATGTTTTAATAATTATAAAATCAACTATAAAAATATTTAAATTCACAAATTTTCTGTGGAAATTATTTTAATTATTTCTAAAGCTTTCTCAAACATATTTTTTGTGTATATATATATATATATATATATATATGCATTAATAAATATGTATTTTTTTAGTGGTGTATTCAGGCTTAAAATCTGCACCATGGTTAAAGGAATTACCTTCCTGTTTAGGCCATATAATTGAACTGCTGCCATCTTGTGGTTTCCTGGACTTAATTATTTATTGCTATTATATTCTCCATCTGCATACAAAAAGGGAAAAAAATGATGTTGGATTAGAAAACTATCAGAGAAGCATGATTTCTGAAGAATAAATTAGAAAATTACAGTCTTGTGCTTATATAAAAGGAATGAATAACATGAAATGATCTTTGGAGATGATGAATAAATTAATTCATATCTCTCATGAAGTAAGCATCCTGGAAAATGTGCAATCATCTCTTTTTGCCTTCAAATTTGATAGCTCTTGTCTTTTCAAAGGTGAAAACCATGAATGAAAAGCTTACCATTGGGAAGATTTCAAAGTACTGGTCAGGATTTGTAAATGATGTCTTCACAAATGCGGACAACTTTGGCATCCACGTTCCTGCAGACCTAGATGTGACAGTCAAAGCATCCATGATCGGTGCTTGTTTTCTCTTTGTAAGTGTGATCTTGGGGGTTTGAGTGATTTTTCTTCTCCTCACCTGTTCATTACCACAGAGCTAATCCCAGTTTACACAGTTTTGACCTACAGGATGTGTTTTGTACAAGGAAGTGTAGTTTAGGACTAATGTTCTTCATAAATCTAAATTTAATAGCCTTCATTTCTACCGGGTGGCCCCACTCCAGCTGCCTAATGGCCCTCAGGGATTTATGCCCTGTGACATGGTTCTCGTCTTTTTCTCAAAAACTGAGTTTCCTTCCCTTTCAATGTCAATTTTGATTTTTTTTTACTTATTTTCACTTTAACTGACAATATATAAATATAGATGTCACATGATTTATCCTGAGTAAGAATCAGAGCAATTCCATTGCTTAGCTCTTAGCTAGGTGCTGTTCAGAATGAGAAAAGTGAAGTTTTTTAAAATTCTTTATATTTGCTGAATATGGACATATGAGATCCAGAGCTTCCAATTGCCATCATAACAAAGATATGCCCTTATTCTTACTTTCCAACTTATAACATTCTTGAAACCATTTTTGGATGTGTGGAGACTGGTGGCCCAATAAGTCAAGTAGCACTTGGGCTAAAATGCTTGGTTATCTTATGATCCTAACCCCCCTTGAACATCTCTCTCTACCACTTCACTACCACTTACCATGCTCACAAAAACTCACAAAATTTTTCAACAAACCAACATTCTTCTCCATATTTTCCTGTTCCTCAGTTTTAGGATCCTAAATCTTATGGGTTCTGTTAATGTACACAGCTGACAGTCCTATGCACTGAGTCTTCCCAGAACACTTGGAAAATACATGAACTAAGAAGAATACTGTAGTGACATCACTGCTAGACACTCAGAGCTTATCACAGAAATAGATGGATAGAGATGGGGACAGAGAAATTGGGACAGAGAGGGACAGAGCATCTAATGGAGATACATATTCACTGGGAATAACTAATAGCTGACATTCACTACTTTTTTGTAAGATTATAATATTATAAAACATTCACACTTTTTTTGGCCAATGTAGGTTTCAAAACAATTTCTTATGCGGTTTTCCAAGATAAATTATTTGCTCAGATTCATAATTTCAAAATAAATTCATAATTATTTGCTCAGATTATGAATTCGTAAATTCATAATCTCCTACACTGACCTAAAATATCTACAATTGAAGTCTGCTGTCTTGATCAAATTTGTACTGAGACACAGTGCTGATTTAAATGAGGTTTCCAAGTTATTTATATTCTCAAAATTCAACATGTAAGTGTCATGAAGCTTAAAACTTTTCAATTTTCCTCCTACTGATAAATCACATGTTGCTGGAACACCACTGGGAAATATAATTGCTTTATATAATCAAAGCTTACAAGTCAGACTCTTGATCCTAATTGTTGCCTTTTGTAAATTCACTCATACCCAGTTTATTTATTTGTAGGATTTTATGTTCTTTGAACATTCACTAGCTGGATTATAACAAGCAAGATGATGAAAACAATAAAATATGCAGAATATATTTCAGTGAGTAAAAGGCAATTTGAATGATCTCTTTCCCTTTGAAGATGTCTATATTTGACGCTATCTAATTCTTTTTCATTTTATTCTAGATATCCCTTGGGCTCTGGATTTCATTTCTGAATGGTTTGAGTATTTTTCTCTCTTTTTTTTGTAACAAAATGTTAATTATTATATTTATTAAAACATAATTTAATGAGGCAATTATCCAGCTGTGAATGCATGACAGCTAAATACACAATTACTGGCCTGAGCACAAGGTTGCTTTGAGAGATTACCATTCTTTCTTTTTATCCTTTTGAAGTTATTGCAATGGTAAGCATGAAAGATGAGAACTAAGGCTTTCAGAATCACTGATGAAAATTCAATGTTTAGAGAATACTTTGAAGTTTTTTCTGGTACTAAGGGTAGTTACTAATCAAAAGGACTGAATGTCTAAAATATTTTTTTTCAAAAGTAGTCCCTTTTGACTTTGTTTGCTAATGTTCTTATTGTAGTGAGCTATTTTTACTCTATATTGGAAAAGTTACAGGTTGGAATAAATAATATGCTTACAGATGAGGAGGAAAAAGATGGTATCAATCAATTCTAGGGGCAAGAGACACAGTTATATTGCAGAAGGAAGCTCATATTTACAAACCAAAGCCTATGTAAATATCTACTCATGCCAGAGTTTTAAATAATCCTAAAAATAGATTTCTAAATTAGCAGAGGCAGTATTTTCTAACAGGAATTTTATCTACTTGCAAGGAAATTTCAGCCAATTGTGGGGTCTGAATCTTTGAAAATGAAAAATGAACAACTCTAGCCTTTTAAAAAAAGCAAACAAATAAAAGCCAAACCTATGAGGCAAATGTAGAAATTAGAGAGCAAAGTATATTCCATTTATCAATACCTTCCACTTCTTAATTCTGTGGAATTTTCCCAGTTATTTACCTGCACTGTCCACAATTTCCAAAGCCCACCCAAGAGGAAAATTCTTTTTTATGAATGACAACAATTCTTCTCCCCTTTTTGAAATGAGGGAACAGATTTTTTTTTAAGCAAGGCTCTACATTAGAATTACACAACTACCCAAATTTCCATGCGCGTGTGAAAATGTTTGGAGAACTGTTGTTCCCCAGTTAGAACAGGGAACAAATTCCAAGCATCTCTTACTAAGAGGATTGTTTGAAATTAGGAAGCAGTCATCTCCTAGAAATATATGTGGCAGGTTTATTTTTTTTTCCTAAATGGTCCATAACTATCCATTTTGTTCCATGTTCTGAGTTAAGGTCCTTATGTTGTATAAAATGGAAAGGAACCGAGAGCCTCTTCCTTGTTTTCTGGTTTAATTTCCTATAGCATTCTTTTTTGGGAGGTCGGTGGGGGGTGTACCACAGATTGAACTCAGGGCCACTGGACCACTGAGCCACATCCCCAGCCCTCTTTATATTTTATTTAGAAACAGGATTTTGCTGAGTTGCTTAGAGTCTTGTGATGCTCTCAGTCTGGCTTTGAATTCAGGATCCTCCCACCTTAGCCTTGCAAGTCAGTGGAATCACAGGAATGCACCACGGACCTGGCTCCCAGAGCATCCTTTGTTCTCTCTTTACATCTTCACTCCTTTCATGAACACCCGCTGTTGGCATGCAGAAACCATAAATTACCTCTCCATCAACCACAAAAGATCTTTACCTGGAGCATAATAGTATGGATACTAATCAAAAAAGTAACCAGGTTTCAGAAACACACAGCGTTTCTCCCAGTCATATCATCCCTGATTTCAGTGTGACTGGAATCAGTGTCATCTGCATGTGGGAGCAACACAGATATGGAAGGGAACCCAAGTTCCATTTGCAATGGCGATCACCTTCAGTCCGGCGCTGCTATTTACTGGCTGGGCAGCCTTCAACCTGTAGTCCTCTGGAATCTTCTCTGGTTCTCATGTTACCTTGCAGAGTTGTGGAAAGGGCAGCTCAGTCTATTTCAAAGAAAGTGTGTCATTTATGATCCTTTATAACAAGCTAAGGGAAATAGCATTTTAAATCTGATGCATATTTACTAATAAAATGGAGAACAATCGTTGCTATGGTTTGAATGTTGGCTCCCTCCAAACCCATGTTAAATTTAATTGCTGTTGTAACCATAACAAGAGGTCGTGAGGGTTCTAGTTTCATGAGTGGATTTAATGCTTAATAAAAAGACTTTCAAGTGCAGGATAATTTCCTCCAGCCCCTTCCTGTCTTTCTGCAATGTGAGAAGCAGCAATCCTCCCCTCCAGGGAGCACCATCTTGGAAGCTGAGACCAGACCCTTTCCAGGCACCTCCTTGGGACTTGATGGTGAACTTTCCAGGCTCAGAAATTGAGAGAAATAAACTCCTGGTCTTTATAAATGACCCAGCCTCAAGTATTCTGCTATAGCAGCAAAAATGGACTGAGAGCATTTCTAACCTTTCCAAGGACTTAGTACCATGCTCTGAGTTTCTGGTGGGATGTAAAATTGAAATGCAATGAAGGAAACTGGACAATGTCAAACTTGTGTCCACCTCTGTGCCCTGCACCCCTGCTCTGTGTTGCACATTTTCTTCTTAAAGATGATTCTGCTGTCCTATCTTCTCCTTGTCCTTAATTTTTTTATTTTTGTGATTGGTGTCATAACCTTCAAGGCTAAGACTTTCTCTATGGAAAGAATGGGGAAAGGAAAACACTATTTGTAAATGTTTAAAAAATATATATTTAAATAAACCTTAAAGGAACTATTAGAAAGAACTATTCAACACACACACATCTAATGGAGTCTCACTAAAGATAAAACTCCTTCTTAGAGTATAGGACTCATTTTCAAGCTGACTCAATTTGATGAAATCCTCCTGAAGTACATTGTTCCCAGGTTGGCACATTACAAAAAACTAAGTCCTGTGGGGCCTCTCCTTCCTCATTAAAGGCTAAAATGTGTCAGGAGCTGCCCTGGATGCAGAAGCCTTTAAGTCCTGATGCACAGGGTTCTGAACAATTATTGCACCCCGCAATAACTTAGGCTTTACCTCTGCTTGGATAATGAGGTGTGGCTCCAGGAGTAGGCGTCACCCGGTGGGATTGAGTTACACTCACCTGTTCCTTTGTAATCCTACCCCTTTGCCCTTTTGGGGATAGAATATTCCATGGAACAGCCTCCCCTAATAAGACCCCAGTTTTGAGGCCTGCTCTCTCTCTTTCCTGCCTGCCTTGCCTCCTTTGTGGGAGCTAGGTCAGAGGAGCCATCACAGAACCCAAAGAAAAAGGTATTTCTCTGTCTCTGTGTGATTATTTCATGCCAGCCCAGTTCACCTGAAGTGACCCTGACTGGTTGAGTCAGGTGTTGCGACAAAATATATCTTTCTATCTCTTCAGTGTTCTGTTTCTTCCCTTTTCTACTAAACAAGACCCTAGCAAGACCCTTTGAGGTTCAGTGAAATACTGCTGTAGAATGAGGTGGATCCTCTGTGAATCCCTTTCTGGTTTCTTATATTGGCCCCTTGTTGCTCCTGGATTTAATAAATATTTGTTGAGTATTTCCTACACCCCAAAAATATAGTCTTTGCTGGGGCTGGGATTGTGGCTCAGTTGTAGAGCACTTGCCTAGCATGTGTGAGGCACTGGGTTCAATCCTCAGCACCACATAAAAAAAAATAATTAAATAAACAAAGGTATTGTATCCATCTATGATTAAAAAATAAATAAAAATATAGTCTTTGCTCTTATGGCATGGATAGTTAAGTACAGGAGATAGCTGTTAAAGAAAATGTGGTTTATATACACAATGGAATGTTACTCAGCCATAAAGAAGAAGGAAATTATGGCACTTGCTGGTAAATGGATGGAAATGGAAACTATCATGCTAAGTGAAATAAGCCAGTCCCCAAAAAACCAAAGGGCAAATCTTCCCTCTGAGATGCTAACACACAATAAGGGGTGGAGGTAATAGAAGTTCATTGGATTAGACAAAAGGGAATAAACGGAAGGGAGAGGAATGAGAATAGAAAAGAGTAGAATGAGTCAGACATCACTTTCCTATGTTTTCATATGAACCAGTGTAGTTCCACATCATGTACAACCACAAGAATGGGACCTTATACACTTGTACATTGCTGGTGGGACTGCAAATTGGTGCAGCCAATTTGGAAAGCAGTATGGAGATTTCTTGGAAAGCTGGGAATGGAGCCACCATTTGACCCAGCTATTCCCCTTCTCGGTCTATTCCCTAAAGACCTAAAAAGAGCATGCTACAGGGACACTGCTACATCGATGTTCATAGCAGCACAATTCACAATAGCAAGACTGTGGAACCAACCTAGATGCCCTTCAATAGATGAATGGATTAAAAAAAATGTGGCATTTATACACAATGGAGTATTACTCTGCATTAAAAAATGACAAAATCATAGAATTTACAGGGAAATGGATGGCATTAGAGCAGATTATGCTAAGTGAAGCTAGCCAATCCCTAAAAAACAAATGCCAAATGTCTTCTTTGATATAAGGAGAGTAACTAAGAACAGAGTAGGGTCGAAGAGCATGAGAAGAAGATTAACATTAAACAGGGATGAGAGGTATGGAGGGAAAGGGAGAGAGAAGGGAAATTGCATGGAAATGGAAGGAGACCCTCAGAGTTATACAAAAGTACATACAAGAGGAAGTGAGGGGAAAGGGAAAAATAATACAAGGGTGACAAATGAATGTCAGTAGAGGGGGCAGAGAGAGAAGAGGGGAGGGGAGGGGAGGGGGGATAGTAGAGGATAGGAAAGGCAGCAGAACACAACAGACACTAGTATGGCAATATGTAAATCAATGGATGTATAACTGATGTGATTCTGCAATCTGTATATGGGGTAAAAATGGGAGCTCATAACCCACTTGAATCAAAGTGTGAAATATGATATATCAAGAACTATGTAATGTTTTGAACAGCCAACAATAAAAAATTTAAAAAAAAGAATGGGACCTTAATTAGAATAAGTAATACTCCATGTATGTATAATATGTCAAGATACACTACTGTCATGTATATCTTTAAAAAAATTTTTAAAGTAAAGATTAAAACAATTTTAAAAGTTAGGTTGGTGAGATGGCAGGAGAAGATGCTGATGTTCCAACGTAGGTTGTTATAGTAGGTTAGGTGACAGGTAGGGTAGTTTGGGTGGGGCAATCACAGAAAGAGGAAATGAACAGACTCAAAGACTATTGTAGGAGGTTAAATCATTACTTCAAGCTGGATTGAAAATGGAACTGGGGGCTGGGGATATAGTTCAGTTGGTAGAGTGATTGCCTCTCATGCACAAGGCCCTGGGTTCAATCCCCAGCCTCACAAAAAAGAAAAATAAATAAATAAAGACACAGAACAGGAAGCATTCAATATCCATTTAGGACAAGAGGATTACAACCCTTAGAGAACAGAGTAGCAACACAAGATGCTACTTCCTGACAGAGAGAGTCTTACAGAGAGCATCTGGGTTTAAAGGAAAGCATATCAGGGGCCGGGGTTGTGGCTCAGTGGAAGAGTGTTCACCTAGCATGTGCAAGACCCTGGGTTCGATCCTCAGCAGCACCTAAAAAATAAATAAATAAAATAAAGGTATTTTAAAAAAAAAAGGAAAGCATATCAGCTCAGTTTTGAGTGCACTAAATTTCTAATGCTCTAAAGTCTTTCAAAAGATATCCAGTAGAAAAAGGTGGAAATTTTTCTGCTAGTGTATTTCTAAAAAGAGCTCAGTTCATGAGAACTGTTTGGACCCACAGAGACCTGAATAATTCTTGGTTTATTTCAAGGAAGTCCCTAAAATTATTTTCAAAAATACCTCAACAATGAATTCATTCATTCATTCATATCTTTTGATTGAATTTTTTGTGTGGCACTGTAGATGGAACCCAAAATCTCACACATGTCAGCAGTTGCTCTACTGCTGAGCTATAAGCTGCAGACCACTGTTTATTTATTTTTAATTGACAAAAAATTTCATTTATTTATCATCTACCACATGATGTTTTGAAATACAACACTGTAGACTTGCTAAATTGATTGGGCTGGGGATGTGGCATGCGTGTGGCCTGGGTTCGATCCTCAGCACCACATACAAACGGAGATGTTGTGTCCGCTGAAAACTAAAAAATACATATTAAAAAAATTCTCTCTCTCTCTCTCCCTCTCTCTTAAAAAAAAAAAAGTATTGCTAAATTGAGCTAATTAATCTATGATTTTTCTTGCCTCACATTTTGTGGTGAGAAAACTTAAAATTTACTGTTTTAGCAATTTTTAGTAATATTAATTTCAGGCACAATAATGTGCAATAGATCTAAAATTTGTTTCCATCCGTTTACTTGATATTTATGGAATTACTTGTCGCGACCCCTCGCCGGCAAGGGAAAACACGACACAGGATTCTTCTTTCAGCAGTTTATTCAGGCCTTGATTCAAGTATCATCTTCTAGTGACCCCCCCGCCGAGCGCCCAAGCACAGCCTAATAAAGCCTCCCGCATACCAATCCCAAGCTGCCACGTGGATCTCTCTCATAGGGTGGTAAGGGATTGCGTGCCAATTCTCCATATAAGGAGTTGTTTATCACAGGCCACAGTGGAAGCCGGCGCCATCTTCTAATGGCGGCCACAGTCTATAAGAATGGCTTACCACAATTACTTCTAAATATTAGACTCTGTCTTAGATACTAGGTTATTAATGTTCAATGGTATGTTGTCCCCAACATTCTTTCAACAAATCTTTGTGGAGTGCAGGCAGCGTGTTACACATCAGGTCATCACTAAGTGATCACAATAAACAAGGGCATTAAAGTACTTGTTCTCATGGGGCTTACGTATAATAATAAATGACAAGAGAAAATAATATAATGCAACTGAAGATGACCATAAATACTGATAAAGAGTCTACCACTAATATCTAAAACAATAAACTGAGTTTTAGATATTGTAAGAAGAGAGTTTAGGGGAAAGAGTAAAGCTCATAAGTTATAGTGTGGACTTCAGCAGACTTCAGCTACAGAATCATGTTTACCAGAGTAAGATGTAGGTAATTGTCTTTCAAAAATATGATCATTGCACTGAAACTGGTGCTGGTTATCTGATTTTCAGGAATTTCATGACAGGGATGTTACTGAGGGGAAGATCAGAAATGTGTATTCTTGGTAATGAATCTCTGATTGACTAAGTTTTGATGATGAGTCATTGCATCAATGAGTTAACAAGTAACCAATTTTCTACCAGGAGGTAAAGAATTTTATATTCCCAAACCCATGAAGAAAAGTAATTCGGAATAAAGAATTAGAAACAGAGGTTGCCATTCCATTTGTGCATAGATCAGACAAAAAAGTAGCAATCCCCGAGGATATTGGGGGAAAGAGAATCCCAGGCATCTGGCAAAGCAAGTGTGAAGACTGAGTCCAGAACATGCTGCAGGCTGGAGATACATGGAGCCTACAGGACCTGAGTACAAGTGAGGCAAGAGGGAGAGGGATACCTGCTGCAGGAAGAACATTGTCCAGGGCTGGGTCCACAGAATCCTGCAAGGGAAAGCATGTGAGAAAAACTGGCACTTGGCTAGATACAGGACCTGAAGGATACTA